GAGCTGCTCTCCAGCAGGTCAGCCCCAACCTGTGCTGGTGCAGGGGGTTCTTCCTCCCCAGGTGCAGCACCTACACTTGCCCTTGTTGAATTCCATCAGGTTCCTCTCTGCTCAGCTCTCCAGCCTGTCCAGGTCTCTCTGAACGGCAGCACAGCCTTCTGGGGTGTCAGCCACCCCTCCCAGAGTTGTGTCATCAGCAAACTTGCTGAGGGTACACTCAGTCCCCTCACCCAGGCCCTTGATGAATATGTTTTGCAAGACGGAATCCAGACCTGACCCCAGGGGAACACCACTAGTTACAGGTGATCACAACCCTCTGAGCTCTGCCATCCACCTCACTGTCCTCTCATCCAAGCCACACGTTCTGAGCCTACCTATGAGGATGTTACAGGAGACAATGTCAGAAACCTTGCTGAGGTCAAGGTAGACAGCACCCGCTGCTCTCCCCTCATCTACCCAGCCAGTCATTCTATTGTAGAAGGTCATGAGATTGGTCAAGCGTGATTTCCCCTTGGTGAATCCGTGCTGACCACTCCCGGTGACCTTTTTGTCTTCTACGTGCTTGGAGATGGCATCCAGGATGAAGCTGTTCCCCAATCCATTTCATTTACTTTCCTGTTCCTTTGTGTCGTTGTCCTGCTGCTCACCCTGTGTTGGTTTTTTCACGTTCTGGCACATTTTGCCTTGGGTTTTGCCATCTGCATTGTCCCAGAGGAGTGTAATCGTGTTGTCGCTTTGTGTATTGAGTTTGTGTCTTGTACAGTTAGGTTTTAGTAGAAACAATTATTTTAAAAAATATTTGATTTTATGGCTTTATGGTGTTATCTGAAAGATATTAAGAACAAGTTCAGAGTTGAAATGTTTCGTTTTTCTGCTGTCTTTAAGATTGAGGGTGCTCAACCAGGCTGGCCCAACACCTCTCCCCCCTGGAAAGCCTCTTGTCTCTCCCTGCTCACGCTCAACAACTGCTGTGGAGCAATCTTTCCTCCCAACTTTTCTTGTACGAAGTAACCCTGCCCCCAAACAGAGGAATCTTTCCCCTTGTTCCATGTTTGTGTGGATGTCTCTTCCTCCCTGCCCCCAGGCCACAAGCAAAGCTAATATTGTGGCACGCACTTTTCTTTCTTTGTCCTTTTGTCCTTTTCAAATGACACGAACCCTTTTGGCTTTCCACCTGTGCAGCAGCCTGGTTCTTTCCTGCCTCTTTTTTACCACGGCACTCGTTGCTAACCCGTTTCCTCTTCTCCAGAATGGACGCAGATCATCACCAAGTACTTGTCAGAGCAGCTGCAGAAAATTGCAGAGTTCTACAGGCAGCTCCCAGGGCCAGGCTGTGGCTCACCCTCCGGGCCGATGCCGCAGGAGGTTGAACAAGCTTTGAAGCAGTGGGACTACAACGAGAAACTGGCTATGTTCATGTTCCAGGTGAGGGGCTGGAGGGGGCTGCTGAGTGGGGGGGTGTAGCAGATGAGGGCTAGGGCAAGTGGATGCAAAGTGACTTGTTTTTTTCATGATGTTCTCTTTCTGTGAATAGAATTTTAGGGCTGGATGCAATTTTGAGCTCAGTAGTAGTACGGAGCTGTGTAAGCTTCTAGACTTATTTCCACTGTTAGAAAGCAAGCAGCTGCTGCTCTGTCTTTCCTTAGTGGATGTTGCTTCACCTTTTGGCTGTTTGCTGTGCCTTTGTCTGTGTGCAGGATGGCATGCTGGACCGGCATGAGTTCCTGACGTGGGTCCTCGAGTGCTTTGAGAAGATACGGTCAGGAGAAGATGAATTTCTGAAAATGCTCCTACCCCTGCTGCTGCGGGTGAGAAATATGTACCAGTCTCCTTCTCCTGTTCTCAGTCCCCTTCCTATTGCCTCAGGGATGGTGAGCTATTTTGCACTGAGAACACTAGGGACTGTTGTTCTTGGCTCATGCAAGGAAACCTGTTTTAGTCCTGGTCTCTTCTGTTTCTTTCTCCTTGACCCTGTTTCCCTGCACTGGACTTGGTAACCCCTGCCCATGTCCTAGCTGTGATAGCTGGACTTGCAGCACACCACCACATGGAAACTGCTTTTCTTTCTTTCTGTCGCAACAGATTGTGGACAGATCTTTGGAGCCCTGGGAAGGCTGGGTGTGGGTACATTTTGATACACAAAGTCATTGCCATCGAGCAATCAGGGTTTTTCTGCTGCTTAGTAGCCAGTGGGTGATTGATGATGCCAAGGAGCTCAGTGTGAAAAGGGATTGTCTCTACAGGGCAGTGCCACGCATTATGCTATTTTGCTATTTTTTGGGGGGGGTAAGGCTTTTCTCCTGTGTTTCTTGTAACGAGGCCATTTCCCTCCCTGCAGTACTCTGGAGAGTTTGTGCAGTCTGCCTACCTGTCCAGACGTCTGGCCTACTTCTGCACCCGCAGGCTGGCCATGCAGCTGGACGGTGCTGGGGGGCACCCGCCCCACATCCTCTCTGCCCAGACGGGGAACCCTCTCCCCTCGACTCCCACCCCTCAGCCAGCTGCAGCAAATCCTCCTCCCAGCCCTTTCAGCGACTTACTGCTGTGCCCCCAGCACCGGCCAGTGGTGTACGGGCTCAGCTGCATCCTCCAGGTGGGTTTGAGTAGTGGCTGGTGATAGTGGGCTCAACAGGGATGGTTTTTATATTGGGTGCCATCACTGAAGGATCATTACGGTCTGGGTTAGCAACTTGGGGAGTACAGAAACATCAAACCATGATTGTCAAAGGGTAGGTCTTTGCTGAATTGTTACACAGCGTTTGTACCAAACATCAGTGCTGTAGCAGTGCCCTTGACTGACTGGCATCAGAAAAATGGGTTGCAATAGAGCCTTTTGCTCTATTCACAGGTGCCTCAGATGGCTGGAAAAGCTTTGCAGAAAAGGGGATGAGAAAGATATTATGTATTTCAGTAACATGTCAACTAGGAAAGGAAATTATGCCAGAAATTAAAGAGCGCTTCCTAATCTTGTGAACCCTTAAAAGCAAACAACCTCCCGTCAGAAAAACCCACCCCCATGGAACAAAAAAAACAACAACCCAAACCAAACAACCAGCACACACAAAGAACAACCCCTCTCACTTCTGTAGGGAAGCACTCCAATGGTTTAGTTAGACCACTCTCCTCTGGAGTGGCAGCAGGCTATTGAAAAGGAGTAACACAAACCCCATAGTCTTTGTGCTTCAAATTGATTAAACCTTACCTTGCGGTAAAAGGACAAGGTTGCTGAAGCCTTATTGATGGATGCTTGAAGGGCAAATGCTGTTGTGTCACTGTGGGACTGGGTTCATACTGTCCTTGTGGGAGAGGGAGATAGGTGAGTTCTGTTCAGCATGTGCGTTTGTGTTTTTTCTCCCTCAAGAGGAGAAAAGGAGGTCTCCTGCAAGAGGAGTGGAGATTTGCCCTTTCCAGGGGAGGAAAGGAGTGTGTTAAAGCAGAGGAGATTCTGGAGAGTGCAGGATGGAGCAGAAGATGGATAGGAAGAGAGCACAGACCTTGGCAAGCTGCAGCTCAACAGAGAAGCTAGAGATCAAGGAGCCCTGACAGGATTGAGAAGCAGCCAGCTGCTCTCAAACAGGGTAGAAAGAAAATTCCTAGAGTACAGTTAGCTGGAAGTAAAGATCTGTCTGCAGGGGCTAGAGAGCAATGTGGGGGTTATAAATAACCCCTTTGTGTTCCTACTAAGTCTTTCTTGGTCACTTTCAGTTAAAAGGTTTAAAGGGGTTGTTTTTCTACATTCTGTGTGATGAAACATGTCTTTTTCAACATTAAAGTCCTTTGGGAGCTTACTTTAGGAAAAGTACATGGGCACATACGCCTCAAAGACTTGGCTGATTGGGGGGTTGAAAAATTTGGGGTTTGAACACAACCTGCTTAAAAGGTTCAAATTGGTTAATGATGGTCTGATCTTTTTTAGTGTGCCTCAGAAGAGCTCTTCTGATAGACCTGCAGGATCTTCTGATCTGCAGATAGTAGATAAGGCTAAGGCAGAATAAGATCTAGTGGTTGGAAGTTGGAGCTGGGTGAAGTGAGGCTGGGAAGAGATGCGTTGCTAATAGTGTATGTAATTAACCTTTGCTCAGATGTTCTCGAGGTATGATGGATTCTTTGGTTTGAGCATTTAAAACAGTATTGGATGTCTATCTTAACGTCTGGCTCCTTGTGAGCCAGAAGCTGTAGGGGTGTATCCTAGGAATGGTTCAGTGAAGCTTTGTGTTTTTGTGGGTGTCTGTAGAAGATGATAAAAGAATGAAAATGTGTATATAATAGTATTGTTACTATAATCATCCTTGTAGTTATTAAATAATGTAACATAATGAGTTTGGGTCTGTTGACTCATGCTTCTTCTCACGCTTTACTCTTGATGTCACTAATGTAAATGCTGCTCCTGGACCACAAGGCTTGGGTTGTGCATTGATGATGTGAGCTGTAGAAAATAAGTCCTGTTTAGAGCAGGGAACTCTACAGCAACAAGTTGCTGCTTTTGGACAACGTGGAACTCTGGTCTTGGCTTCCTAAGGATACCTAGGGCAAAAAACCTCAGTGTGGCAAAAATACTAGTTTACTCTCCTACTCTAGTATTGTCTTTAGCCTGAAGACTCTTTCAGAGCTTAGAACAAAAAAATCCAAACAGTAAATATGTGTACAGGATGATGAATGCTGGGCAGTAGGATAAAGGAGTGCTTATGTCAGTGGAAAGCAATCTAACTGAATTGTTTTTACCTTGATTTGCTGACTTTTCTATCTGTTGCAGAGTATAATTTTGTGTTGCCCAAGTGCCCTTGTGTGGCATTACTCCCTGACTGACAGCAGGATAAAGACCGGCTCCCCGTTGGACCACCTGCCTATAGCCCCATCCAACTTGCCCATGCCCGGAGGGAATTCGGCTTTTACACAGCAGGTGAGCAGCCTTCAAAAAAGGGAGCTCTTGCTGCTCCAGGATAATAGCTGTATCTTAGATCTATCAGGGTTTTCTTTTCTTCTAAGGTGTCCTTGTGTATATTTACACAAATCCATTGTTTTTAGGTTCGAGCAAAGCTGCGTGAAATTGAGCAGCAGATAAAGGAGCGTGGCCAGGCCGTGGAGGTTCGCTGGTCATTTGACAAGTGCCAGGAAACCACAGCAGGTAACTTGCTGTAGGTTAAAGTTTTTCTCCCCCTGTTCCATGTGTTACCCTGAGAAACTTCCCATCTGGCTATTTTCTTTGATTTTTTCCTGTTTGTTTCTGTTGGCGTTTACTGTCAGCAGTGGGGAAAAAAAAAAAACCAAATGGCTTTTTTTTTTTTTTTCTTTCTGGTACAAAATCTTACATGGGTCTGTTTCCCCAGGTGTAGGGGGAGTTTCTGTTACTGGAAGCTGGAAATGTGTACCAGAGCACTATACTCTTGTATAAGTGCCATGTTCTGATACTTTCCCCAAATATCTGCTGTGAGAGTCAGAATACTAAACTTAGGTGGACTCTTGCCTGTCTGGTACAGCTTTCCTTAGGTAGTCTCCTGAGCGGTGTGCTCACAGAAGCTTTTGCTCTGTGGTCTGTTGTACCAGTTGCAAAATAGGCATTTTTTTTCTCTGTTCTCTTCTAGGTTTCACTATTGGCCGTGTCTTGCACACTTTAGAAGTTCTGGACAGTCACAGCTTTGAAAGATCTGACTTCAGCAACTCTTTGGATTCCTTGTATAACAGGATATTTGGGCTGGGTCCAACCAAAGACAGTCACGAGGTGCCTTGGGACTTTGCTGCTGGGCCCTGGTCTGGGTTGTGCTGTGTTCTTGTTTGTGTTCCACGGTTACCGTGCTGTGTCCGCAGAGAGCTGACTAGGTAGTGGCCTTTGGCCAAGAGATGTGATCTCCATTGAAAAGGATTTCATGCAGCCCTAAGTTGGAGAGATGCTAAAGTGAGAATGGGGGGGGGAGTGTGTCTGTGCTCTAGAAAGTCTACGCTAACAAGTCCGTGTAAGTTTGAGAGTCCACACAGCTAACTGAGGAGTCTCCTGATGGAAGACATCAGTCTGGATATCAGATTTAGGATAAAGTCGTGGTATGTGTTTGAGAGAAGTGCTAGCCTTGTCAAATTCTGGGCTGGCAGCTGCTTCCTGGGAGTCTGGGAGCTCACAGTTCAAGTTCCTCTTAGCCTGGGGGGTGATGTATTTCTGATGTGTAGGACCATAGTGCAACCAATACAACCAGACTCAGTGGTTTGGTAGTTTGCATACTTTGTAGAATGCTGTCGAAAGGTGTGTTTCACTCTTTGCTAAGATCAGCGCTCCATAGGTGGGCTGCTGGAAGAGAGATGATTTTCTGAAGCAAAGCCAGCCTGGAGATTTGTCAAGGGCTGTGGATCACCTCATGTGGCAACGTGGAGTCAAAGCAGCCTTTAGCTTCATATCTGTCCTCTGTGGTAGGAAGAGAGGAACGGTAGCACTCTTCAGCAGAAGACTTGCTGTTCTATCCAACCTGAGGCCTTAGGACTGCTCACCTCTTCTGTTTGGCTCAGGTTCTCACTGTAGTTTGTGTATCTCAACAGATCTCCCCAGATGACGATGCGGTGGTGGCCTTGCTGTGCGAGTGGGCTGTCAGCTATAAACGCTCCGGACGCCACAGGGCCATGGTTGTGGCCAAACTCCTGGAGAAGCGTCAAGCAGAGATAGAGGCTGAGGTGAGTCCTCGTTCCTGGAAGGCTAGCAGCAGTGAAGGAGAGCAGAGGTTACCTACCTCATATTGTCTAACTGCTCCACCAAAGGCAAAGGCTGATAAGCACGATGCCTCTTAACACTGGTGCTGTTCATTATGGCGTTTGCTCCATCTAACCCAAAGTAGGTCATAAATGAGCCTGTGGGATGGTGTGTATCCCATTTCTTGGATACATTTGAAGACAGGTGATTGCAGTGCAGAAGTATTGTCAAACTTGGAGATTCTGAAGTGGTTTACAGAAGCCTGTGTGGTGGCTTTCCTGGAAGTGCAAGATAGAAATTTTGGATTGAAGACTTCTTTTTGGGTTTTATGGATAGTGAGTTTCTCCTCTGTGACAGCAGTTGGTACTTTTTTCTGTTTCTCCAGAGATGTGGGGACTCTGAAGTCGTGGATGAGAAGGGCTCCATCTCTTCAGGCTCTCTCTCGGCAGCCAGCGCTCCTGTCTTTCAGGATGTCCTTATGCAGTTCCTTGACACCCAAGCTCCTATGCTAAGTATGCAATAAGAACTTAGGGTCTCCTGGCTTCTAGCTTTCCCTCTCCTGCAAACTTTGAATCTGTGTGCTATTCTTTTATGTATCTAAATTCTCTCTCTGGCTTCCTTGTCATTCAGAGCATACCTGGGAGAGGCAGGGAAAGCAGCCTGGAGGGCCAGATGACAGAAGGATAAGGTGGAAGCACTTCTGTTAACAGAGTGTTGACCAAGAATAAATTGCTGTAGCCTAATCAGGAATTAAAATTCAGTCTGAGAACTAGAGGGAGGTTTCTGAATAGTAAGTGATAAAGCTCTGGAGTAGTCTCTCCCTGAGAACAGATTCAGGGGGACAGGGTACCGCTCTGTGTGACGCAGCCAACTGTGCATCCAGCAATGACACTTCCACGCTAAAGTCCTTTGCATCTGGTCTGTGAGACTTAACTGGAGAGTTTGTGACTTACTTAATTGCCCCCTGTTGAATCTGGGCTTTCTGCTTGTAGTCCCTGCTGCAATCTCAGAGCGGTCTATCAGTCGCTTACTACGTTGAGATCTCTGGAAACACTTTCTCTAGCCCTAGGTTAGGTGGCTGGTGCTGCTCAGAGTGCTGCAGAAGAACCCTGGTAGCCCTGACTGTCTGTGCTGTCCTTTCAGCTGATCCTGGGAAGGAAAATGAGAAGGTGGAGTTCTTTAACCTGGTGCTGCTGTTCTGTGAGCTAATCCGACACGATGTCTTCTCTCACAACATCTACATGTGCACCCTCATCTCCCGAGGTGACCTTGCCATGGATTCTCATGGGCCTCGCCCGCCCTCCCCGTTCGATGACCCTGCTGAGGAGCACGACAGGAAGGAGACGGAGGGAAGCAGTGGCATCAAGCTGGAGGTGAGAGCACAAGCACCATGGCCCTCCTCTGCACGTTCCTGTGGTGTGCTTGCCCATTTTTACCAGCTTGGGAGCCTCCTTGCTATTCCCTGCTGGAGGGTGTACCAGTGACTCATGCTTCTCCTTCCCCCACCCAGCCTATTTTCCTAGTGTTTCAGTTTGGAAAGTAGAAGGCTGGAAAGGACCTGCAGAGTGTAAAGGGGTAGGCAGGAAAATCTTGCACTGCTCAGAGCAGCATATCACAAGGTTCTCTGTGAGGCCTGTCGATGATATTTGCAGTGTATTAGCCTCCCAACTTGCCAGACACCATGGGTGTGTTGGCACATTGCTGTCACTGTCCCACGTGGACACGGAGTGCTGTACTGTACAAATACTCTCTTATTCCCTGGTGCATCACTGAGATGTGTAAAGCTGCTGGCTCTGTTCCCAGGACACAGGTCTTTCTGAGCCCATGGACATCGACCACAACTCCAGCATGCTCTTTGATGACATGGAGAAGACAGACTTCTCGGTACGTTCCTGCATTTTCTACCTGTTCCTCAGTAAGTAGGTCAGTAGGTTGCAGTGGGACCAGGGACAGCATGTGCCTTGCTTTTGTGTGAGTACTCCCTGTTGTGGTTTGAGGCAAAACAGAATCAATTTTCAGTATTTTTTTCCCTCTATGGCAGAGCGAGTCTGCTGGAAGTGGCTAGGTTGTAAGGCAGCTGACACTGCAAAAAGGTCTATATAACCTGTTTATGCTGTTTGGAGTCCATCAGAGTAGAGTGAGACCCAGTCATTCCTGGGATCTCTTACACTCTGGCCACTGGTAGCCCAGTGTTTGGGCAGGGTAGGAAATGGGCTGCTTGGGAGTGGGTGGGAAATGGATGAGCATGGTAAGACCAGGAGATTGAGAGTGACCAGTTAGTGTTGGCAGGGGTTTTCTTGATGACCTGGGAGAAGACACAGTTCTGCTGTCATCATACTTATCTTTTGCAGGCATAGGTGGTTCTTTTTTCTTTTTTTTTTTTTGAGAAAAAAATTTGCAGGCATAGTTCATGGTTGCAGAACGCTTGGAAGCACTTAGTAATAAAAATAACTTGTGCTGGTTAAAAAAATCTCAGAGTAGCCACATTCCTGCAGCCATTTCTGGCCTTCCAAGGTGCATTAGACAGATGTGATGTGCAGAGCTATGTGACTTTCCCAGGATCCTTGCTTGTTCTGTGGAGGTGGTTGTTCCCAAAATCTGAAGCTGTGGTTATTTATTTCCTGTTGTTGTTAACTCAACATACAACACGGACCAGAAGCAGAAATGGGAATAGTGTCTTAGCACATTGCCTTGGTCATTGCCCTAAGAACTGGATGTTTCTCCAAGCCACCCTCTTCCTGCCCTTGTTTAGGCCTGAGGAGATGTACCTTCCTTCAGCACTCTTCAGTGTTGCATGACCATATTCCCTAGCTACCTTTACTTGTCCTTTTGTCTCCCTAGATGTTTTCTCCTCCAATGCATTGTGAATCTAAAGCCAGCCCTTCCCCTGAGAAACCAGATCCTGAAAAGGAAGCAAAGCCACTGCTGAAGGATAAGTCTGTGGAAGGAATGCTAGCATCCCTGTATGACCAGCCTCGGCACATCCAGTATGCAACACACTTCCCTATTCCTCAGGTAGGAGATCTCAAAACTTTTTTTGCAAAATAGTTCATGGTTGCAGAACGCTTGGAAGCACTTAGTAATAAAAATAACTTGTGCTGGTTAAAAAAATCTCAGAGTAGCCACATTCCTGCAGCCATTTCTGGCCTTCCAAGGTGCATTAGACAGATGTGATGTGCAGAGCTATGTGACTTTCCCAGATTCCTTGCTTGTTCTGTGGAGGTGGTTGTTCCCAAAATCTGAAGTTGTGGTTATTTATTTCCTGTTGTTGTTAACTCAACATACAACACGGACCAGAAGCAGAAATGGGAATAGTGTCTTAGCACATTGCCTTGGTCGTTGCCCTAAGAACTGGATGTTTCTCCAAGCCACCCTCTTCCTGCCCTTGTTTAGGCCTGAGGAGATGTACCTTCCTTCAGCACTCTTCAGTGTTGCATGACCATATTCCCTAGCTACCTTTACTTGTCCTTTTGTCTCCCTAGATGTTTTCTCCTCCAATGCATTGTGAATCTAAAGCCAGCCCTTCCCCTGAGAAGCCAGATCCTGAAAAGGAAGCAAAGCCACTGCTGAAGGATAAGTCTGTGGAAGGAATGCTAGCATCCCTGTATGACCAGCCTCGGCACATCCAGTATGCAACACACTTCCCTATTCCTCAGGTAGGAGATCTGCTCATAACGCTTCCCTGTTGCTGCCTTGTGCTCTGGTCACGGGGTTGCTGTGTTTCCCTACAGTACTGCTTTGGCTGGGTGAGGAACAGTCGTGCTTTCCTGTGTTGCTGCAGGAAGGGATCTACTTAAGATGTCTCCTTGCTTCCTCCCAGAGCAACTTCTGGGATGAAGCTTTCCTTTTCCTTTAGGAGATCCAGATGTGAAACAAGATGAAAGCATTCAGCCTCATGGTTGCTAACACAGTTGTCTCTCTTGGTTCCCTAGGAGGAATCGTGCAGTCACGAGTGTAACCAACGGTTGGTAGTTCTTTTTGGGGTTGGAAAACAACGGGACGATGCTCGGCATACCATCAAGAAAATAACCAAAGACATTCTAAAAGTCTTAAACAGAAAGAGCACTGCAGAGACGGGTTAGTAGAGCTTAAGCCACTCCTTTCTGAAGTAGGAGATTCTTTCCAGTTGGCTGGCTCCTTTGTCTGGAGTCTCACAGTGAAAGGGTTTTATATAATCTACAGTGCCTGGTGAGCTGTGTCAGTCACTGAGAGTCTGGAGTGGTGCTTTGTTCCCAAACACACCAACCAGCAAGTAAGACAATTGGTTTCCTGCTGACAATATCTGTTTAATTGAACTTTTCTTCGTGGGAGGATTAAGTCATATAAGGTTCAGAGTGAGACCGTGGCCAAAACTTTGGCTTTTCCAATTTTATTTTCTTTAGTTCTTGCATTTAGATCCTTGCATAAGAAGCAGAGAGGACTTTGCCTGTGCATATTCGGCAAAGACCTTGATTAAATGTAGCATACCCTTATGCTCGGGGCACATGCTGAATGCACAGGGTGGGTACTTTGGATAGCTGTGTCAAAATCAATAGAAAGCCTCTGACATCCATCAGCTGAGAATCTGGCTGCAGTATTTTTTCTCTCTTACTCTGCTTTCTGAAAGGTAACTTGAAATTCTTTAAAAGATGGGGTGTTCTGACAAAGAAATTTTGAGGCTGGACATCTCCAATCCAGAACATCTGTTTTTATCAGGGAATCAGTGTACTGAGATCAATCAAGAGAGAAACAAACTCGAGAGAGAGATTGAACAATTGAGAGAGAAAGTGTTTTTCCCCTCCAAGGAGTTACATTCATTTGGGATAAATTAGATGTTAACACTACTGTCATTCTCAGGTTAGGAATTCCCTCCTCAGCAGTATACTGTTTTGAATTCAAGATGGTCCTTATCAGTCTAAGGTCTGGGACTCAAGGTTTTTGGCTTTGCTGCGTGGCAGGGGCTGGTCTTGCTGAGGGACTGTCAGATGCTGATGGTAGAGGCCTCCTCTGATGAGGAAGGTAGCCTGATGCTATTTTCTGACCCTCCCAACTTTGGTAGGTGGAGAAGAAGGCCAGAAGAGGAAAAAGAGCAAGCCAGAAGCATTCCCAACAGCTGAAGATATCTTTGCAAAGTTCCAGCACCTTTCTCACTTTGATCAGCACCAAGTCACATCTCAGGTATGAAACTTTCAAGGCTGCTGTCCTTCTTGGGCCCTGACTGCGTCCCTTTATGTTACCGAGAGTAGCTCGGAGAGAAAGGGAGGTGGGCCTGCTGAGGGACTCCTGCAAGGGGAGGTAGTACTGTGTGTTGCCTTGTGCTTGCAGGTATCTCGCAATGTCTTGGAACAGATCACCAGCTTTGCCTTGGGAATGTCCTACCACCTGCCTCTGGTACAGCACGTGCAGTTCATATTTGACTTGATGGAGTATTCACTCAATATCAGTGGTCTTATCGACTTTGCCATCCAGGTAAGTGCAGTCTGCTCAAACACTTCCTGGGGAGGGGATGGTCAGCCTGAGAGGCAGCAGATCAGTGCTGTGAGGACTGAGCTGCTCCTGGGATCGTTGGTGACCCTCTGACCTGCGTCGTGGCGGTGGTCAGTGCGGTGCTCCCGGGCTGCAGCTGTTAGGAATGGGTTGGCTGTGGCAGGTAGCCTTAGGGGTTCTGTCCTGAGGATTATTCTTCCAGAGCCTTTCAGGGTTGTCTGCAGAGGACTTGCGTGATGTCTCTGTCCCTGGCTGCAGCAAGGCCTTGTTCTGAGCGAGAAGGGGATCGTCTGTCTCTGGCAGCTCTCCCACCCCGCTCCCCTGGAAGGATCCTTGGCACATGGCAGTGCGGGCTGCCTTCTGGATCCTGCTAAAATCCTGGTGCTGCTTCTGCAGCCTGTGCCAGGTGTCTCTTGAAGCCTTGCTATGGTCGCTGACAGAATTGAGGCTGGTAGCCTTAAAAAGGGAGCTGAGTGAGATTTATGCAGGACAGAATTGCCAAACGAGCTGCCTGCTACTATCATCTGTGGCCATATCCCAATCCCTCTCTGATATCCAAGCACTGACAGTCCCTTGTGCTGCCGGAGTGAGATGTTGTGTCTAAGTATGGGTGCCAACTGTTCCAGGGCTACATCTCTAGGCAGAAAGCCCCTGCCAGGTCCTATAGGCTGTGGGTGTGGTGTGCCCGCTCCATTTCTGACCATACCTTACCCCTGTGGCTGTTGAAGGGTTTTTCTGTCATTGGGTACAGTTGCTGAATGAACTGAGCGTGGTGGAGGCAGAACTGCTGTTGAAATCCTCCGACCTTGTTGGCAGCTACACCACCAGCTTGTGCCTGTGCATCGTGGCTGTGCTGCGACACTACCACTCCTGCCTTATACTGAACCAGGACCAGATGGCTCAAGTCTTTGAAGGGTAAGGGAGTCTTCCCCTCACCGTGTGGAAGGAAGCAGCCTCTCCTCTGGGGTCGTGTAAGGGGCAGGGATATAGCTGTGTCCTTCCTAAAAAGGTGGAAACTTCATGCCTGAGGGTTCAGCTCACAGAATTTGCAGGGGATAGAGTGTGTCAGTGAGCACTCTTGCTGTGAGCTCAGGAAGATATCTGTGTAATGAGGTTATTCCTTATTTCTTATTGCTGCAGCATTTTTTTGTCTCTACACAGCCTGTGTGGGGTGGTGAAACACGGCATGAACCGCTCAGATGGCTCCTCAGCAGAGCGCTGTATCCTGGCCTATCTCTACGACCTCTATACCTCCTGCAGTCACCTCAAAAGTAAATTTGGGGAGCTTTTTAGGTGAGTCTGGGGCAGGTGGGAGGCAGTGGGTGCTGACCAGTATAGCACCTTGGCTTAAGCATTGCTTGTGATCTTGTTTGATGGGATTGTCACTGAGATCCTCTCAATGGGGAACTGAAATCTTGGAAGTAGTGCCTGTTTTAGAGGTGGTAATGACCCAGTGTGTAATTTTGATTATTAGATCGTTAAGTTTTTGGTAAATTGGCTTCAGCATTCCTCTGCACCTCCACAGGTCTGTTCTTAGTCCACTCCTAGAGGAGAAAAGTAGAGAGATCTGTTTCTACCAAACTCTGGTGACCGAGCAGTTTATCCTAATAGTTGTTCTCTGCTTGTACTTAGCTCCCTGATAATCCTTGGACTGCTTCTGAACCTGCTCTGCCTGGTTCTGGGTTTGTTCCTGTACTACTTTGTGCTCCTTATCCTTGCTCTGCCCCTGTTGGCTCTTCAGGTTCTGCTCTGCTGATGAAGCCCCCAAGGTTCTGTCCTGAGGGCTTACTTTTACTCTGTGCCCTTCTGCCCTTTGCAGTTCTTCTCTTGGGAACTGTGCCCCCACCAGCTCCCTGTGGAGCTCCTCCCTTGGCAGCCTAGAGATGGAGTTCCACACATTTCCCTGGCTTTTTGCTTTCATTATCCTGTGAAGGTGTAATTCTGACAGCCCCGTTATCTGGTAGAATGCTTCATTTTGTCTCCTCTCCCAGCCCCCGCTCCCTGGTAGTGGTTCCAGTGCGTAGGGGTATCCATAACCCTTGGTGTTACCCCTCATTGAGGGGCTTTGTGCCCTGGTGCCAGCTGGCTAAAATCCTGGCTGCTGAGAGACTTTGAAGTCTTTTTCTGGACTGAAATGAGAGCGAGAGGGAGTGCTGTGCTCACAGGTGCCTTGGGGTTCTTTGGAGGAGTCATCACACATACAGAAATGAGAAACCTGCCATTAGTCTCACTGAATCCCCAAAAGCTGTTCAGCAAGGGTTTAAACTAAATGATCATAGATGAAAGGGAATATCCTCCAGCAGGCAAACAATAGCTTAGAGATACAGACAAGGAGTGGGAAGGAGTTTATATTTTGAGGGTGATCCCTCCCTGAGGAGTCCATTAGGACTCTGCGAGGGCTTCTGCTGTTCTATGCATCAGAAGTTGTATGAGTGGCCTCAAAACTTTTCATGTAACTGTTACTCGGCGTATAACAGTGGAAGTTGGCTGCAGATTGTTGTAGGAGGGCACAGTGATGGTGAGCAGGTGATAAACTGGCAGATGAAGTTTAGTGTTGTTTAAACAAAGTAATGCACGTAGGACTGTCCTGGTTCCCTTCCAAACTCTATGTAGTGATGGATATATACTATTGGTTGGATGAAGGATCTTTGAGCTGTAACAGATACGTGACTGAAAATGCCATCATAGTGTTCAGTAACAGTCAAGAAGCAAATTAAATGTTAGGTATTGTTTTGGAAAGGAATGGAGAGCAGACCAGAGAGCATCATTAGGCCACCATTGAAGTCAAGGTACATCTGCGCATTGTGGATTGGGGCAACAGGCTCCAGAAGGCATTTCCAGTTAGGCCCAAAGGGTGGGGAGTGGATAATGACCAGAGGTTTGGAATGACTGACTTGTGAGGAACTGAATCTCCTCCCCACAGAAGAGGAAAACTAAACGTTCAGTAGGACTTACAATACAAGCAGAAAAAGGAATTAATAGAAAATAACAAATAGTAGGTTCAGAACAAAAGAATAAACTTCATAGTTCTCATAGTTAACCCGGAACTCATTCCATGTTGTGGAAAAAATTCTACTGGACTCCAAAAGTAGCTGGACAAATTTGCAGGAGGAAAATCTGTTGAGGAGGGCATTATCTTTAACTGAAAATCTGTGAGCCTTAAGTTGCAGCAGGATGGGGAAGGATGCTGGAAAACAGTATTGCCACATACCTGCCTTGCTCTTAAACTCTCCTCTGGGCATCAGCTGTTCCGATGCCAAGGGCTGAGCTAAGTGTTCCCCCAACCTGCCCTGGAATAGCCATTCCCATGTTATGTTCACTGAGCCCAGGGGTAACCTCCAGGTGTTTCCACAACAAAGAATCAGCTTCACTCTTTTGGGAGAGTCTCTGTTGGTACACAGTGATCTTGAGTTTCCCCCCTGTTCTTGCCAGGGAGGGCTTGTCTTGCACAGGATTGCTTTGCTTATTAGAGTTCAGTGGAAGTTTAGTTTTTTGTTTTCCTCATCTCTCTTCTGTCTCGTTTAGTGACTTCTGCTCCAAGGTGAAGAATACAATCTACTGCAATGTTGAGCCATCTGACTCCAACATGCTATGGGAACCAGAGTTCATGATTGACACCATTGAGAATCCATCTGCACATAACTTTACCTACACCAACCTGGGCAAGAGCCTCAATGAAAATCCAGCCAACCGCTACAGTTTCGTCTGTAATGCACTTATGCACGTGTGTGTGGGACACCACGATCCAGACAGGTGAGAGGCAGAGCTTTCATGGTTTTATCGAGATAGTAATACCTTTAGGTGAGGTTTAGAAAGCCCATTGC